GCCTCCCCAGGAGTCTTACAGGAGCCGTCGTCACCCTCCCCCGGTAGATGACCAATCAGTTCTGTGATCCTCCACTTGCAACGTGAAGTGGTAGAGTTCAGCACAGTACTGTCTAGCCCACGGGTGTCAAACATGGAGCCCGGGGGCCGGATCAGGCCCCCGGAAGGCTTCTATCAGGCCCGCGAGGGACTGGCTGTCTCCTGCTTCTTCCTCCAGTTCTGCTGCTGCTGTCATAGCTTGCTTTCCCAGACTCTCTCAATCGCTCAGGAGAGATAGATAGCCAAGCTTCTGCTCCCTGCACTGGTCTGAGGCTCCTCCCCCTCCCCGATTGCTACAGCACAGACATTTTGATGCAGTAATTCGGAGCAAGAAGCGGCAGTTATCAGAGGCTGTTAAATAAACAAATCAGTGCAAGAATGCTAATGTTTCAGGGATGTTTTTATTTCAAGTTTAAACAAAAATATCTTTGTCTTTGTGTCCTTTATCGAGTTTATATCTCACACATACGGCCCGGCCCGACAAAGTCCCATTTATGTCAGATCCGGCCGTCCATAACAAATGAGTTTGACACCCCTGGCCTAGTCCCTCTCCACCCTCCTTTCTCTTCCTTTCCCCATGAAGACCGATGAAGAAGCCTTATCCTGAATCACTTTCACTTCCTGAAAACGCTCGGCAGGTGTCAGGTAAGGTGCCCGGTGGGCGCCATGTCGGGGACCTCTGTGAGCCCAGAACAAAGAGCAAAGGCGGTGGGGCAGAGAACAAAACCAGCACAGGCAGCGGCGGTCAGCCTCCCTCGCCGCCTGGCTCCTCTCCAGCCCCTCCCAAGCCAGCCCTTTAATCTCCTCCAGAGCGGCAGGAGGGAGGGAGGGAGCCCGTGACCTCAGCTCCCCTCTGTCCCTGTTCCACCCGTGGCTTTAACTAGGCCGGCCCCTCCCACCAGACCTCCCGTAACCCGATTTGCTGGGAGCATTCCAGGGCCAGGAACAGAACGGGATGTGCTGCCCCACGAGGGAAAACGAGGGTGGAGGGGAGAAAGGATGGGCAGTTCACCAAGCCGGAGAACTCAATTATCTTTGTGCACACTGGCCGACTGGGTGCCACCCGGGCGGTGGCATTTGTAAGACACACGCAAGGGTGCGAGAGGGTGCCTTTTGGTTTCGCCAAAAAGAAGGAAACTGAAAAGTTAAGACCTCTCTTCACTTGGCAGTCTCTTTCTTTTTCTTTCTTCCTTTCTGTCTCTCTTTCTCTCTTTCCTTCCTTCCTCTTTCTCTCTCCCTTTTCCTTTTTCTCTTTCCTTCTTTCTTTTCTTTCTCTCCCTCCCTCCCTCCCTCTTTCTCTCTCCCTTTCTCTTTCCTTCCTTCCTTTTTCTCTCTCTCTCTCTCCCTTTCTTTCTTTTTCTTTCTCTCTCTCTTTCCTCTTTCTTTCTTATTTTCTTTTCTCTCTCTCTCTCTCCCCTTCCTTCCTCTTTCTTATTTGTTTTTCCCTCTCTTTTCTTCCCTCCTCTTTTATTTTCTTCTCTTTCCTTCCTACCTTTCTCTCTCTCTTTCTCTTTCTTTCCTTCTTCCTTCCTCTCTTTCTTTCTCTCTATTCCTTCCTTTCCACCAGTCTCCCTCCCTCCCTCCCTTTCCACCACCCTCCTTGCTTCCTTCCTTCCTGCCTGCCTTCTCCCTCCCTCCCTTTTGTATTGGAACCTCTCCCCTTCTCTATTTTTGGTATTTGGGGTCTGGGCACCTTCTTTGGCCCTACAAAGATGTCTTAATTCTTCTTTTGGCAGCTGATGATATTGGATTGACAGCTGGGGGGGGGGGGGTACACCAACTGTGATGATATTGGATTGACAGCTGGGGGGGGGGGTTACACCAAGTTGTCAGAATTCACACCAGTCCTGCCTGCCTGCTTGGGGGGGGGGCAGGCTAGAGAACCCAGTGGCTGAAAGCCATGAGGCAGGGGGGGGGAATAATTTGCTTTTGAATGCGAGAAGAAAACAAGATTTCCAGCTGGCAAAGCTGCTGGTTCTTTGGGAACAGAGTGCTGCTTGGAGAATGACTTTGTCCCCCTTTGCTCAAAAAAACCCCCCCACCCCAAACGTCCTTATCTGTACAGGAGAAAATTCTATAAAAGGCTTATAATAAAAACATAAGAGAAGCCATGTTGGATCGGGCCTGTGGCCCCTCCAGTCCAACATTCTGTGTCACACGGTGGCCAAAACCTAGGGGCCATCAGGAGGTCCACTGGCGGGGCCAGAACTCCAGAAGCCCTCCCACTGTGTGTGCCCCCCCCCCAAGCACCAAGAAGACAGAGCATCACTGCCCCAGACAGAGTGTTCCATCTACACCTTGTGGCTAAGAGCCACTGATGGACCTCTGCTCTAGAAGTTCATCCAATTCCCTCTTGAAACCATCTATGCTACCTCAAGGCCTTCTATCACTATGGGAAAAGGCAGCAGGCACAATTCTCTGTAGCACTTAAAGAATACCCTGCCAGTTTCTGAATCCCGTGGAAAATTTGACACAAGGGCAGGCAGAGGATTGCTGAGGGAACTTAAAATGCTCCTGCGTTTCCCCACAACCTCACACTGAGTACCAGATCACAGGGCAGACACACAACTCCAAAGACATACATAGCAGACCTATGCGAGGCACCACACAGGGCATTGCTGAGCAGCGCAATGTAGCTACGCCATACCATTCCAGAAATGCACCCCAGAAGTGGGAGGGGCCGTGGCTCAGTGGCAGAGCCTCTGCTTGGCATGCAGAAGGTCCCAGGTTCAATGCCTGGCATCTCGAGTTAAAAAGGACCAGGCAGGAGGTGATGGGGAAGACCTTGACCTGAGACCCTGGCTCAGGGGCAGAGCCTCTGCTTGGCATGCAGAAGGTCCCAGGTTCAATCCCCGGCATCTCCAGTTAAAAGGACCAGGCAGGAGGGGATGAGAAAGTCCTTGACCTGAGACCCTGGCTCAGTGGCAGAGCCTCTGCTTGGCATGCGGAAGGTCCCAGGTTCAATTCCTGGCATTTCCAGTTAAAAGGGACCAGGCAGGAGGGGATGAGAAAGACCTTGACCTGAGACCCTGGCTCAGTGGCAGAGCCTCTGCTTGGCATGCGGAAGGTCCCAGGTTCAATTCCTGGCATTTCCAGTTAAAAGGGACCAGGCAGGAGGGGATGAGAAAGACCTTGACCTGAGACCCTGGCTCAGTGGCAGAGCCTCTGCTTGGCATGCAGAAGGTCCCAGGTTCAATCCCCGGCATCTCCAGTTAAAAGGACCAGGAAGTGGGTAAGTGAAAGACCTCTTCCTGAGACCCTGGAGAGCCGCTGCCAGTCCGAGAGGACAATACTGACCTTGATAGGCCGGACTCAGTAGAAGGCAGTTTCATGTGTGTTCAACCCTTCATCGTGGCACAGGGGTGCAGCTGCAGGGCTTCTTTCTCAAAATGCCACACGCTGTGGTTGCTTGTGCTGCTACAACCAGGCATGTTATGGACAGCCTCTGAAAGGTTCTCGCAACCGTCTTACACAGTGTTCCCTCTAAGCTGAGTTAGTGTGAGCGAGCTCACAGTTTTCTTGGCCTCCGGCTCACACACATTTTTGTCTTCGCTCAGGAAGGAGGGCTCCAGAGCAAACTAATTTATGCAGCAGCCAAATCGCTCACTTAAAACTTTAATGCCAGTAGCCCACAAAGTCGAATTTCTGCTCATGGGACTCCACAGCTTAGAGGGAGCATTGGTCTTAAAGGCAATCTCAGCTGATAGAGCCGAACTCGGCTTTCAAGGGGTGGGGTGGAAACCAAGGGCTGTTGTGTGTTTGAGTCTCCGAGGGATGGCTTCAAAGAAGAGCTGGGCTCAGCTGGGCGTCTTGGGGTCCTTTCACCCGGGGTTGCCAACTCCGGGCCGGGAAATTCCTGGAGTTTTAGGGGCAGAGGCAGGGAAGGGGAGGTTGGAGGGCACTCAACTGCTGCCATTTCCTCCAGGAGGACTGATCCCTATACTTTGGGGTGCGGGTACGATTCCAGGAGATCTCCAGGCCCTGCCTGGAGGCTGGCAACCCTAGGCAGCTCCATATTGGGAAATTTCCTGGAGATTAGGGGCAAAGAGTGGGAAGAACAGAGTTGGGGGTGGGGAGAAACCTCAGCAGCATCTAATGCCATGGAGTCCACCCTCCAAAGCAGCGGTTTTCTCCAGGGAAACCGACCTCTGTTGCAATCAGTGTTCCCTCTAAGCCGAGTCAGTGTGAGCCAGCTCACAGTCTTTTTAGCCTCCGGCTGACAAATCTCCGTCTCCGGTCAGGGAGGATGGCTCCAGAGCAAACTAATTCCAGCTGGAGCCCCATCGCTGCCTCATAACTTTAACGCCAGCAGCCCGCAAAGCAGAATTTTTGCTCACAGGGCTCCACAGCTCAGAGGGGACATTGGTTGTCTTCCCACATCTCCAGGGCCGCACCTGGAGACTGGCAACCACACGGGGCTGGGAAATCCTCGCTGATTGGGGGGAGGATCCAGGGGGAGGTGGAGTTTGGGGCGCCCAGCCTGGCACGACGTCCTGGAGTTCACCCTCCGAGGCTCGGGAGGGGGCGATGTTCGCAGGCGGGAGATCCGCCGCGATTCCGGGAGATCTCCAGGTCCCGCCTGGAGGCCGGCAACCCTAGCCCGGAGGACCATTCGACCCAGATGGGTGGCCGTCTTAGTCCTTCTGGAGCGGGAGAGAAGAGCCAGGGTCGAGGGGCGCCTTAGAGACTATATAACACGATTGGGAGGGCGGGGAAGGAGCCGCCGCCGCCGTGAGTCACAAACTGCGCTCGTCTCTGAGCTGCCGCCGCCGCCGCCGCCTGGGGAAGGGGGAAATGCATCTGTACATGCTCAGAGGCTCCCCGTTCGCGGGCGCGCCCCGGAAAGAGGGTGGCCTCGACTCTCCCCCCCCACCACCACCACCCGCCCGGCTTTGTCCTCCCCAGCCCGGGCAGCCCCACCTCGCCCGCACCGTCCGCGGCCCCGGCCCGCCCCGGACTCACCTCTGCGCGGCCGGCAGCCCTCGAGGCGCCCCCGCCGGCCCTG